AAGTATAAAAATGTCATATTTAAAATGTAAGGGGCATGTAGTATGTGTTCATAAAAATATCAAACCAAAGAAGATGCTACAGAAAGGAGAAGCTAGTATTCAAGGTAACTCAAAGATCAGTTTCCTTCATGTATATTTTATAGTAATAGAAAAAAATCAACAACCTTTGCAGTTCATCAATAGCTGCTTTTTAAACATTGAATTATCACATATGAACACATTTGCATGACTTTTCATTCCTTCTATTAAAAATTGTAATTATTTATTAGATCTCAAGGAATATCCCAAAATGAACAGAGAAACTGATTCTATTCTATTACTTAATCCATTTGGGTGAAGGAGAGTAACTACACATAACAGGGAGATGCTTTTGTTCATGTCAGTCATCATTTGTATATATTAAGTTAGTTGTATCAGGGGACAAGTGAATCTCGACTTCAAGTGTTAGCAGACACTTCTTTATGCTTTCTTCCATCAACTGCTGCTATGAAAATTCTAGTTCCACTATTATTACCATTGTCTAAGCAATAAAATTTGACTGGTTAAGAAATGTTAGAATTGTTCTCCAGTTAAGTAACTTATCTTCCTATGGCATTGCATTTGTTTCCATCTTTTTTCTTTGGCATAGCCTATACAATTGAAATCTAACATGCTTCTGCAACATAATAACATTTTCATAATAAATGTTGTAATTAAATTATAGTCTCAAAAATAAAAATAATAAAATATCACTAGTGAGTAAATAACAGAAATTAAAGTATTTAATTGCAAAATTAAAGTAAAATGGCATGAAATATATATATTCATGGCTTCTGTTTTCACTAGTTGTTACTGCATACATTTATGTATATATACATGTATTTCTAAATAAGACCTGTTGAGTCTATATAATGCTACCTACATGTTTGCTTGAGGGAGTGTCTGTTTATCAACAGACAATTAATAGATGTGTTCTTCCCCAAGGAAGACCATTTCTGGACAAAGAAAAGCCCATAGGACCTCAAACTTACATAAAGAACTATATGCAACTAAGAAAAGCTGGGAACAGGACAATTTTTTATCTTTTATTTGACAGTTTATGTGCACATATTTTAAAATTATATTGTATATATTTTGATGAGTTTTATAAATAATGATGAAAATGTGATTATGATTGATTTTTCACAAAATTTTCTGTTCTTTTCATTTAATCTACAGGAACCATAAGAGCATGCTACTATGGTGGTACCCACCCATCTACCTTCTCTATGCTAAGATTTGGTCTGGCTTGAACTTGCACAGGTTTTGTGTTTGCTCTAACAACTACTCTGAGTTCGTATGTGCAGCTGCCCTGCTGTTTACTTGTGCTTATCTCCTATTCTGGCTCTCTTACTTTTTCTGCACCCTCTTACACATTAATCCTCAGTCTCAGGAGGAGGGATACCTTATAAATATTCCATCTGGCCTAGCATCATGTAGCTTCTTATTCTCTACACTTTGGTCAATTATGTGTCCCTACATTTATATCCATCTCCTGAAAATACAAGTTTCTCTGGTGAGACTCTGGAGATCTATGGATATAATGATAAATTGTTAGTAGTTGGTTTAGTATTATGACCACTAAACAAGATAATACTAGTAGTCTTCCTCTAGGGTCTATGATTTACCTAGTCATAGGTTTATTGTTAAATAATTGTGATAGATATGAGTTTCATCTTATGGAGCATGATTTAAATCCAATAATAAAGTAATTAGTTAGTCCCATGATGTTTGTGCCACTACTGCAGAAGTGGGAGTGTCTTGCCAGGTCAGCTATTATTGTAGCTTAAATGGTTCATATCTACATAATATTGATGATTACTTTTCTTTTTAGTGTACAAAGCACATCCCAGTACTATGAAAGCTATCAAGTAGGCATTAAGCTTCCAGTTCAGTATCAGTTTGACATTTCCATGTTCTATGACTCAATGTGTGCTATCTTCAGGAATAGGTTCTTACAGTCAAATTCTGGAGGGTTAATAAAAGTATTGCCAATAGCCTATAATGGCCAAGAGCTCAAAAAGAAATAAACCACTCCTCACATTGGGCCCGTTTTTGTTAACCTTGGATGTCTAATGGCAAGATACCTATTGTCAGACATCAGACCACCATTTTAACTCTTTTATGTGTGTCTCTGTGTGTACGTGTGTGTGTTTGTTATTGCTTTGATACATAGCAAGCTCCGAAAGGGTTCTGATATATACAAGGTTCTTGTCCAAAACCCTACTGTCTTCTAAATTTGTGTTTTGTTGGAACCCACAGAATTGATTCTATTCCCTCTTGATGTAAAGTCAGAGAGTTGGAGCCTATTATTGCTCTTTCAAGGTTAAACCACAGAATGTTTGTCCTAACATATGGCTACTGTGTGTCTTTCCTTGACAACAGGATGTCAGGCCTAAGATATGAATGCAACAGGATTCTTGGCCTAAAGTGTGGTCGCTGCTTGTCCTGCCTACACAACAAAATGCTTAACTAAGGGTATTGTTACTTGATGTTTTGGGTATTGAGCAGGCAATTACACTTGCTTGTTACTTTTGTCTTGGTAAGGAAGTCTTTTGCCTTCTCCATCCTCTTTTGATGGGGGTATAAAAAAACTCTTTGAATTTGAACATGGGTGGTTCAGTATTCACTAGATGCCCACCTGACTCTATCTCCTGTCCTCCTTTCAAGCACAGACTGAATAGACAAGTCCATGGAACTGAAGAGATGACTCCCCAAACAGGGTCTACCACAGGGTTTCTTACAGTGTTCTTCATTGATCATGCAAGAATAAGATAGAAATCCACAGGGATTTCTGTTTTATGTAATATTGGCTCTAGGGAAAATGGTAATGAAAGGTACTTATTGAAAAATTGTAAAACCCATATTAAAGCAGGCCAGAATGACATACAACAAAGGTAAAATTCCATCCTGGGGCTCAGCCTGGTGAGTCTCCCATTGTTTTTAGTTAGCATACATGCAAGGGAAAGAGAAAGCATAGAAAAGAGCTTAGGAGACATGGGGTCTATTGGAGGCTGAGACTCAAGATGAGGCTTTGGAAAGGAATAGGAGCATGGCTAGTTAAGCTCAAATAACACTACCAGAAAATGCTATCCAGAGCCTTTTAGAAAAACTTTTCTGCTTAAAGCTTATTGAATGATCTTTGGAATATGGCTTTAGATGCTTTTGGAAAAAAAAAACGTCTAATCTAAAAATATTAATAGACTTAAAGTTTAAAGTTTATTTTCCTTAATTATCTCTATTTTCTTTATCAATATGCAGTTATAGAGATTTTAAATTATTTGTGGAAGTTAAGGACACTATCAGTCTGATACAGACTTCATATATGAAGCATTTTAATTCATCATAGTATCAGTCTCAAGAAACGATGGTTTGAACTGTAAATATGTAGTAGACTAGACAAATAAATAATGTAATTAACATGGGTAGGGAAGTAGGTAAATAGATAGATAAGTAGATAGACAGGCAGATGATAGATTAATATGAAGATACCTAGGTAGATAGATAGATAGATAGATACACACAAATAGCAGTGCTGTTATTTGAATTCAGAGCAGAACAGCTTGATTCTCTTTGATATAAGTATTTGCATTTAAATATATGGAAATAAAGAAAATAATATGCTTACAATTTTAAATAACCACTAAATTACTTATATGTTGTTATACTTTTTTGATATTATAACATGATTATAATATTTCTACATTATAGTTCTGCTTTGTTTCTTGGTTTTGTGGAGTTTTTTTTGTTTCTTGATTTTCTCTAAGTTTGTTTTAGTTTCTTATCTTTATTTTTAAAAGGTATTTATGAAAGAGAAAGAAGTAGAGTGAAAAAACAAAAAGCAGGGTGGGAGGGGATATGGAATAAATATGGGAGGAGTTGGGGGAAGTGAAAAAACATGATCAAAATATATTGTATATAAATTAATAAAAAGAATGATTGTTGTCTTTTTTGTAGCTGTGTAGGTAGCATTTATTATATTTTCTCATATTTATTCTTGTATTCTCATTTTTAAAGAAATTAAAACATATTTGCTGTACAAACTAAAAGTATTCACCGAGATTATTCTCTGTATACATAATCATGAACTGATCAAATCCTTAGAGTTCAAAATCTGTGATTTGAAATAAAAATGCTAATATATAAAGTTTAGCAGGATATTAAGATATTCAGGGAGATTGTGTGTTTTTATAATGTTTGTGGAGGAGTCTGTGTTGATTCTGCATGCATAAGGTTGTAAATCCACATTTACAACTCAGACAAACATTCAAATTGGAGCAGAAGAGAGATGGGATGGGGGTCGGTGGAGGCTATGGGAGGATGGGCGGGAGAGGGAACTGGATTGATATATAATATGATTGTTCCTAATTTAAATAAAAGAATTCAAATTTATAATGTACCAATAGATTAGAAACTTCTACTGTGTCATTTATACTCATGACTTAATATAGTCTGGAGATAAATTCATAATTTCATCTGTGAGTTTTAGTATCTCCTAGGTGCTTCTTATCCCGTTCAAGCAGAAAATCTTGACTAACAATCATAACACTGTCATTTGATCAATTGAATTAATTTCTAGTACTATATTCAGGGACTTGCAGAAACCTAAGTTCATCAACATTCAAGGATGCTTGAAAGTACTCACAAAAGGCGATATTAGTGTGAAGTAATTCTTAAATTATAAGGCTTGTTATTTCAAAGAGAAGAATAACTGTACAAAAGATGGTAACAAATAAATATTTTACTTTTATTTACTGTGTAGTGCGCAGCTTCCTCCAAGACTTGTGCTTGACTAATTAGTATTCTAAAAGACTTGGTACAAAATGCATTTCAAATTGATAGGATGGTTTTCAGAAGAACATGAACAGAGTACATAGCATCCCTTAAAATAATTCTGGGTTTCCAGTTTCAAAACATATTCAACGAGTTGCTATTGGATGAGCGCACAGTTCTGAAGGCTTGTTCATACATTCTCCTATAGGATGCTCCTTCTCAATAACACCCAGTTTCACCCTTCTTCCTTCATATTGCTGGGAATCCCAGGAATAGAGACTCTTCACATCTGGATTGGTTTTCCCTTCTGTGTTGTATACATGATTGCTCTCCTAGGAAACCTCACCATCTTGTTTGTGATCAAAACTGAGAGTAGCCTCCACCAGCCCATGTTCTACTTTTTGGCCATGTTGGCTACCATTGACTTGGGACTCTCAACAGCAACCATCCCCAAGATGCTTGGGATCTTCTGGATTAATGTCAGAGAGATCATCTTTGAAGATTGCCTCATACAGATGTTTTTCATCCACAAATTCACACTTATGGAGTCAGCAGTCCTCTTGGCAATGGCTTATGACCGCTATGTAGCCATCTGCAACCCACTTCGGTATAGTGCCATCCTCACAAATAAGGTTGTTTTTATGATTGGCCTTGCTATGTTAGTGAGGGCAATTATATTTGTTATTCCATTTATATTTCTAATTTTGAGACTGCCCTTCTGTGGGCATCACATCATTCCTCATACCTACTGTGAACATATGGGTCTTGCTCGTCTGTCTTGTGCCAGCATCAAGGCCAATATCATCTATGGCTTATGTGCCATATGTAATCTACTGTTTGACATAGTAGCTATTGCCTTTTCTTACATACAAATACTACGTGTTGTGTTTCGTCTCCCTTCTCAGGAAGCCCGGATCAAGTCCCTCAGCACTTGTGGTTCTCATGTCTGTGTCATCCTTGCCTTCTACACACCAGCCCTCTTTTCTTTCATGACACACCGCTTTGGTAGAAATGTGCCTCGCTATATACACATACTTCTGGCCAACCTTTATGTTGTAGTGCCACCCATGCTCAATCCTGTCATATATGGGGTGAGAACCAAGCAGATCTACGACCGTGTGAAGAAAATGTTATTGCAAATGCAAGGAAAGGAAAAGGAATAGCTTATGATTGTATGAGGCTCCACAGAATACTGTCACAGTTCACTGAGAAATATGCCTTGCAGTAAAAGTCATATCACAACATGTAGCTGCACCAACATTCTGCTCTAAGTATTTAAATATGTGGCTTTTAAGTTACTTCACAAGAGATACAACTGGTTTCTTCCTCTGCTGACCCATTTTCCTTATTTTAATAATGTATTTTTTCCTCTTTCATCTGAGACCTGCTGGGGTTTTTTTTCATGATATTTCAATACTTCCATTTTGTTACAAAAATTGATGTTTCCTATAGTTTTTTTCTCAGTGTTACTGTGCTATTTTCCAAGTGCTTATTTAATTATTGTAAAACCTTTAAAATGAAATGATGATTACAAAATTTTCACTTTTTGAAACTAAAAAAGCTTTAAATTGGCAGCACATTCAGGTTAGGAAGTGCCATCCTTTCCTTTAATCTTTTATATCATTACCATTTACATCACTATACTCTTCAAAAGACCATAAATTTCTACTGCCACAGTGTGTCAGTCTTATTATACTATTAAATTTATTATTCCCTCAATTCAGCACACTATAATATGTATGTATATATCTGTATACACACATACATTTAATTCAACTCAAGACTTTGGTCCTTCAGAATATTTTTTTTGGTTTGTAACTATATTTTTATTATGATTGCATTTATGGCTTCCAAAGATGTAGCCATTGTCCTCGTGGTATTTATGAAACTAGAAGGTGTAATATACATTAGCAGTCTTATGTTTTTCTTGCAATAAAGAATCTTTGAAAAATTTAGTGTATCTACTTATGAGCTGATTTATATGTCATTCTTTAAGGCTGTTTATTATACATGATCAACTTTATATTCATTAACTCACTGTTATATATATTCAACATTCACTTGTTTCCAAATATATACTGTTTTACTGTCCTTTCTTCCCTGTACCCAAAGATTCTTTTTACTTTGAAACAATTTTGTATATGGCATTTTTTCTGTTTGTCTAAAATAATTTAGTTTCATGTTCATTTTAGTATTATTTTGATGATATAAGATTCCAAATATAGGTTTAGTTTTCTTCAGAGGTGTGAAAAATTATTTTGTTCTATTTTTCCTCCCCATATAGATTGGGATGACAACTTGTAAGTCTTAACACTGCTATTTTAAAGATGACATATCTATTTTCCTTGATTGCATTTATATTTTCTCTTTGAAAGATTAAGTTTTTAATTACAGAGGTATTGTACTTGTTTGTTGATTTCTACATGAAACCAAATTTGTGATTCTGTTATCGTTATGTCTGACTTATTTTGCTTAATATTATGCTCTCTACCTTCATTCATTTTCATATAATGGTGAGATTTAATTCTTCTTATTATTAAAGTATAGTTGACAAAATGTATACGTTATGGAATCCAATGCTGACAAATTTCAAAAAGGTTAACTGAAGTTAATAAAATTATAATTTACTTTTTTATTAATTTTATTGTGAAAACATGTAAGCACAAGCTTGGTAACATCCAAGTTTACAACACACTTTTATAAACCATATTCACATTGTTGTGCATTAGATATCCAGAATTTAGTTAACAAATCTAAATGAAGTATTTTACTCTACAGTCATTAGGATGTAATAAGTACAATGCTTGTTTAGGACATGCAAAATCCTGGATATAGTCAAAACCACTGAATAAAACTGACCACAGTGGCATATGCTTATAATTCCACAATTAAGAAGTTGGAAGCAGCCGGGCGGTGGTGGCACATGCCTTTAATCCCAGCACTTGGGAGGCAGAGGCAGGCGGATCTCTGTGAGTTCGAGGCCGGGCTGGACCGATAGCCTCCAAAACAATACAGAGTGTCTCGTAAAAAACAAAAACAAAAAAAAAAGTTTAAGTTGGAAGCAGGAGTATTTGAAAGTTCAGGATAATCCTTGCCTATACCAAAAGTTCAGTGCCAGTATGAGCTGAATAATACCTATCTAAAAATAATAATAAGTATTTTGTCCAACATTTTCTCTCGCCAGGAGGTGGTGGTGGATTTCAAATTTTATTCATGTTTTTAATTTGTCTCTTTATTTTATTTATTCATTTTTAAAAACAATTCCACATATGTATGCCTTCTATACTCTAACATCCTACCAGCCTTATCCATCTTCCTTCTCCCCACAATCCTCTCTCTCATGTTCCAGTCTATTTGGCAATCTTTATTCTTAAATATTAAATAAGCAACTATTTATAAAGCTATTGGGATGACTAGATACTATTTTGAACTTAAAACCTACTGAATAGAAAACACTGCTGTGAAAAATTAAATCTATTCTCAATGTAATGAACACTCAGAATATTAAAAATATATACACAATAGAGAAGATTTGCCTTAAAACTAAAATAAATCATGAGTTTCAATTACAGTAGTATTAATTTGTGGGATTAAAAATAGGACAGAAATCTAGCAATATTAACAATACATTATTTAAAATATGTTCCTATAAATTTTTATTATATTCTTACATGTTTTTTAAAAATAAAGATCTATTTAGACATATAATAGACTTAAAATCATAACACAAATAGGGGAGTTTGACTGGCAGCAGTTGTGGACATGGTAACAAGGTACCATGTGAGCTCATATATGATAAAATGTACTTCTCCCATATCCAGATGTTTCTAAATGTAATAATATTTGCTATCAAGTAAACATTGTCATTTAGCACATTTTAAATAAAATTATGAATAAGTTCCTATACAATAACTGAAGAAAAGGTAGATACAAAGGGAAAACAGAAAAGAAAATATAATTAATATTTCTGTCTATTGGGGTGGGCATTCACATGCTTCTATATGCACCTGACATAGCTTTCATGCAGAAGTCAGAACACAGGTTATTGATGTGGACTTTATCCACCTACCACCAGAGTCCCTAGGTTAGTACTCAAGTTATCAGATTTTGCAGCATGCACCTTAACTGTTTATCTCACCAGCCCAATATTATGTTTTTATTTTTTAAATAAGCTAGTATCAATTAATTTTAATAGCAAACATAAATTAATAAGACATACAAATGAACTTTAGGAGACTGTTCCACATGGAGGGATGATATCTTAGCCTGGACACATGAGGAAGGATCTAGGTCCTGCCCTGGGTGAAATGACAGACTGGAGATCCCCCCAAGGAGGGCCTCACCCTCCCTGGGGAATGATGTGGGGCTTGGGCTGGGGGTAGGGCTGGGAGGGAGAGGGCAGGAGCTGGGATTGACATTTGAAGCATGCGTGTTTCTAATTAAAATTAAAAAAAGGAAAAAAAAGAATGCAGCATAACCAAAAAAAAAAGGTCAGGCCCGGCGTTGGTGGCACACACCTTTAATCTCAGGACTTGGGAGGCAAAGGCAGGCAGGTCTCTGTGAGTTCCAGGCCAGTCTGGTCTACAGAGTGAGTTCCAGGACAGCCTCCAAAGCAATACAGAGAAACCCTGTCTTGAAAAAGAAAAAAAAAACAAAAAACAAAAAAGGTCAGTTTTTAACCAGCCCCTCCTATATGAGATATCTTTCTTGAATATAATTGGGACAATTTTAAATTTATTTTCTCTAATTTTTTCAAGGTGATTACAAAAGAAAAATCATATGAAAAAAATGCAAACTATAAAACATTCTGACAGAGGGCTAATCTCCAAAATTTACAAAGAACTCAAGAAACAAGTCTCCAAAACACCAAAGGATCCACTTGAAAGGTGGGGTACAGAGCTAAATAGAGAATTCTCAGTAGAGGAGGCCAAAATGGCCAAGAGACACTTAAGAAAGTGCTCAACATCCTTAGCCATCAGGGAAATGCAAATCAAAACAACTCTGAGATACCATCTTACTCCTGTCAGAATGGCAAGAATCAAAAACACCAAATACAATTTATGCTGGAGAGCATGTGGAGAGAGAGGAACACTCCTTCACTGCTGGTGGGAGTGCCGACTCATACAGCCTCTTTGGAAATCAGTATGGAGATTCCTCAGGAAAATGGGAATTAATCTACCACTAGACCCAGCAATTCTACTCTTAGGCATTTATCCAAATGAGGCAGGTTCATACAACAAGGGCATCTGCTCCACTATGTTCATAGCAGCATTGTTTGTAATAGCCAGAACCTGGAAGCAACCTAGATGCCCCTCAACTGAAGAGTGGATAGAGAAAATGTGGTACATTTACACAATGGAGTATTACTCAGCAGAAAAAAAAAAAAAACAATGGAATCTTGAAATTCGCAGGGAAATGGATAGCACTGGAAGAAACCATCCTGAGTGAAGTAACCCAGTTGCAAAAAGACAAACATGGTATGTACTCACTCATATGTGGATTTTAGACATGGATCAGGATAGTGCCAGTCTACACTTCCACAGATAGAGAGTCTGGGAAACAGGAAAGAACCTAAAAGATATGCATATATGCATAGTACCCAAGAGAAGAGGATGGAGACAAGATCCTCTGAATGGATGGGGAACACGGCGAGGGGTGGGGGGGGAGTGGGACCTGGGAAGAAGAGAGGGGGTGAAGAGGAAGGGAGTTGGTCATGGGGGAACAGGAAGTTGAGTGGGTGGGGGTAGAATAGGGGGAAGAGGGAATCATAGGTACGAAGATGGATCAGGCACCAGAGTGACCTCGAGTGATCTAAAGGGATAACACCAATTGGCAAGCTAAGCAATAGTGGAGGGGCCACCTCGAATGCCCATCCCTGATAATGAACTTGATGTCTATAACCATCTGGGAGCCTTCATCCTGTGACTGATGGAAGTAGAGGCAAACACACAATTAATCACTGAACTGAACCCAAGGAACCCAGTGACAGAGAGAGAGGAGTGATGAACAAATTGGCAAAGAATGGGCTGGCAAAACTAGCAGAGACAGCTGATCTGAACAGGGGAGAGCTCTTGGACCCCAGACCGACAGTGGGGAGGCCAGCATGGGACTGATCTGGACCCCCCAAATGTGAGTGTCAGTGAGAAGGCCTGGGCAACCTATG